GAATTCTCGACTTCATATTAAGAAGAGAACTCTTCAACCTAATACAAAGTAGATGTTCAATCCAAATAAAAGCAATGAAGTAGCAACCAAAAAGCATCAAGAGAAATTATTTACATCATAATGCTTAAAAGATTGAGGCTAAAAAATAAACGATAAAGCTACAACTAATAATCGTATTCTCAATTTATAAGAGAGATAATTCTCAACTTGATATCAAGAGAGTTTACTTAATAGCAAGTATAAACAATAAAATTGTGGCCAAAGAACAATTTTTAATTTGGAGATAATTCTCAACTTAGACTAAAGGGATTCATTTGATAGCAAGTATCAACAATAAAGTAACAACCAAATAATGAGCTATAAAGCTGTAGCCAAGGAATATTTCTCAATTTTATATTAGAGAGGTGAATTCTCAACCTAAAAAGAAAAAGATCAAACTCCACTATGTATTAAGGAGATAATTTTTTCTCAACTAAGTACCAAGGAAATTAATGTGATTCAAAGCATGAACTATTAAATTACAGCCAATAAAAGTGGATTCAACACAACAGCCATATCAACTTTGTATCTCAATTTGATTTTGAAGATTAATCTCATGTGCAATTAAAGAAAACTCTTAGCATAGTTTAGGGTAATGATTTTTTTTCTTAAAGTTATAAAAAGGTAAATACTTTCATCACCTTTGTAATATTTGGTAAAAAAGCCTACATTAGAATGATCGTTTGTTGGAATAATACATGTTTTTCATTTTCTCACTTTTTTTTTTTGTTTATTGAAAATTTTAAACCTGTATGTACTAAATAATAATAATAAGACATGCTTGGATAGTTGAAAATAGTAAAAAGTAAAGATTAAATATTTGTAATTGATTAAATTTCTAATATGAAAGAATGAATGTTCTAATCAAATTATTGCCTCACCATTGAGTATTCTTGTGGCATTAGGATTTTTCATATTTGGTAGAGTTACTCATGTCATTCGATAGTAAAAATGTCTCAATTCATATTTTACTTAATGCAATCGCTCATCCCTAATTGAGTCACCAAAATGTAAAAAGGTTCCTTGTTGAAATGAGAAAACATTGCAAACAAGTAAAACAAGATGTGCCGAGAGATGGTGGATAGGAAAATTGGAGTCAGCCCTGAAGTATTGAGTATAGCGATAGATGGTGGTAGGTGGTGCAGCAACGCTAAGCAGAGTAACTTATTTTAGGTTATAAATAACCTAAAATAAAATCATTGTGGAAACTGCTATTTATAGGTTTCAAGAATATGAGTTACATATCTTAAGTATTGAATAATAATAATAATGATGATGAAATTAATAGTTATAAATGGTGTTAAATGTATTAAATATGAATAATGGTGAATAATGAGAGAATTGATCGTTACAAAGGTGTTAATATATTATTTAATGAGTGTTTAATTAGCTTTTGGCAATAGGCATAATGAACATAGAAGTTCACTATCTGTTCTGAAAGAAAAGGAGAAGCATTCATATTTTAAGGAAAAGTTAAGAAACCTTTTAATTATCTCCATATCTAATCTACTATGCCAAGCTCTTTGGAACATCCCAATAGTGCAATTAACCCAAAAACCCTGCTATATTTTAGGGTTATTTTCACTTTTTTTTTCGGTGAAGTAACATTCGATGAAGCGTATTTTGTAGAATAACTCTTAATGAAGCAACTTTTGGTGAAAATGTTGTTGTTGTTCCTTGAGGAAATTGTTCCTAGAACAACTGTTCCGTGAAAGTGTTATTTCGTGAAAGAGTTACTTCTCGAATAATTGTTCCATAAATAGTTGTTTTATGAAAGAATTGTTCCATGAATAGCTATTTCATAAAATAACCTTTACTAAAACAACCTTATCACTTATTTTTACTTATCCTCAACTTTAACAACTTTAAAAAATTTTAAAAGAATAAAATATTAGTAACCAAAATCAAGTATCTACAGTCTACATTAGGTTATTTAAACTCGAGCTCATTTATCAATAACACCACCAAGAATGTGGAAAATAATTTGGTGACACAATCTAATAGAAAACAAAACAGCCAAGCTATTGTATAAAAGCTGAGCAATGAAGTTGAAGCAAGCTTAACCAGGGGTTTTCTTAGTGTGGGAGGTGAATCAAACTGGCCATTCTTGCATCAAAAGCTTGCCAAGTTTGCTTCAATGGTTCAACTCAGCCATGGTGTTGACATTTGAGAGTTTAGATGAAACCCAATTGAAAGTGCATAATTGAGTAACATTGTAATGCCTAGTACAAGGCAAGAGCTAGCTAGCCTTGTTGTAGCTAATGAAAGAAGATGAAAGGGAGTCTTGTGAATGAGAAAAGGGTAAGGCAAAATTGGACTATGGTGGTGAACGAGATTGAAGAGAAAGAGACATGGCAGCATAACAAAAAAAGTCATTTTTATCAGCACTTATAAATGCCAATAAAAGAGTAAAAAAGATTACTATTGCCAATAGTTTTATTACCACTACTTGACTACCAACTAAGTGAGTGTCGATGAAAACTTTTCGGAGGTCAAATCACCAGTGCCAGAGTTACACATATATTTGATGACATGACTTTTCTTGACCATTTAAATTGCCCTTATAAGTAAAAAACTATTAAAGGCATTTTAAAATGCTAGTAAAAGTCACATTTATTCAATTTTTTTTATATTTATTAAACGAGCTATATTGACACTTAAAACCGCCCTTAAAAGTCTTACTTTATTTTTTTTAAAAATAATGTTCATATTCCAAAAAAAAAAAAAGCCAATACTTATTAACATATTTCAATCCATGGCCATGAAGCTAAAATCAATCCCAAGATTTCCCTGTTATATCACTGTTATTATAAAAACCAGGCATCAATAATTAAGAGAAGAACCAAGTGCTTCCAGAGAGCCGAAGATTTCTTGTAAATTTGAAAGTAAACATATTTTGCCTTTGAAAACCAATCAAGTTTTCTGCATTCCAAAGTTAGTTTATTTCAAAGTCTTTTGGAGAATTCACATAAGATCCATTAGTAAATCACCCCCAAATAATATTGGTCATAACGTTTAAGTTGGAAAAACCTACCTATTAGACACAAAAATCATAAAATCGTCACCAATTTTTTTAACTATAAGTGATTGGCCATCTATATAAGTTTATCCTTTTTAAAGTTATTCTAAACCTAAGTTGAGGATCCATAAAAAGAATAAATTCTAATCTATATCAACAAAACTAAAGTTCAGAAGTCGATTACGTACAAAAAAAGTATTACCACCGTTTTACGCCCAAAATTAGTACTAAGTTAATTATGTTTTACCTTACCTAAGCTTTATAAAAGATGATTTTATCATGTAAATAAATCAATTCCAATCTTTTTATTTATTTATAAAACATGGTAATAAAAAAAATTCTATCAAAAATATCATGCAATCATGTAATAAATATTAAATCATACCATGCAAAAATTATGACACAAATGTATTATAAATCATACCAAATATCATGTAATAATATCATGCCTAGATCATACTAAAATATTCATGCCAGAATGTCACACAAATATATTAATTATCATGCAATAATAATAATTATATAAATATATAATATCATACGAATATATTAATAATGCAATAATATAAAATACCATGCAAATATATTAATAACCATTCATGCAAATATATAATCATGAAATCAAATATCATCACACAAATATATTAGTATTGGTGTATAATCATGCAATTAAATATCATTCAAATATAATATTAATCATGCAATAACATATAATATCACATCATGCAATAAATATAAAATCATGCAATAATAATCATATAAATATATAACCAAATAAATAAATATATAAATAATCATACAATCACACAAATAAATAAATTAATAATCATGCAATTAACAATGTAAAATATGCAATTATACAAATAAATAAAATAATAATCATGCAATTACACATGCAATTAAATATATAATCATGCAAATAATAATATTAATAATCATGCAAAATAACATACAATTAAATATATAATCATGCAAATAAAATTATATAAACCATGTAAATAAATATGCAATTAAATATACAATCATGCAAAAAAAAATACATAAACCATGCAAATAAATATATTAAGCAAATAAATTATCATGCAAATATAATATTAATAATGCAAATTCATGCAAAAATAAATACTACGCAATAAAGATAAAAATAAAAGTAAATAATTAAATATTATAAAAGTTATGCAAAAATCACACCAAAAAATTGAAAGCAAATATTCCCTTAATAGATTACGGGTTCTAACAATTTTTCACTTTAAAAAACTAATGCTTTTTACTATAAATCTTAACATTTCTTTCAAAAACTCCAACTGGATCTTTTTGTAAATTTTGTTTACATGATTGCTTCTTCATTGTTGATTCAAAACTTTCCCTTTCTTTTTTCTCAATGACCTCTATTTGATCTTGAAATCAATTACTTTAAAACCCCTTTTTTTATTTTAGATTCAAGATCTTTATATAAGAATTGAATCCGTTTCACTTTGGAATAAATTAATTCAACCAAATCTAAAATTGCTCGCCAAATTTTATTCTCTGTTGAATTTTCCCTTTTTCAATACATTGAGCCTCAAATCTTTCCAAAATTATTCAATCATTAAAGTTAAAATCTAAGATAAAATCCCAAAGTGGATTTTCAATGCAAAATCCCACATTTTTTTTCTTTTTTATTCTTTTTTTTTTTTTTACCAATTGATTTTGACTCTTTTGACTTAAAAAATTAAACAAAAAATTAAACTAAAAAATTAAAATACAAAAAAAAAAAAAATTAGGGCTTAATCTTTGAACCCAAATTTCACTTTTCTAATTAAGGCTCAATTGTAGTATCAAAATTAAAATTCGAAACCCAATGAATTTCAAAAAATCCAAAGACAAAATAAAGTGTCTACATTGTTTACAAAAAGAGATTGGTTATGATGACAAACTAATGTCTAGAAATTCTAGGGCTGACTTTGCCATTACAGAAGAAAACTCATTGAAGCTAATGACACTATTCTTGTACTTACTTGGGCACAAATATTGTGAAACATAGAACTTTTAGCATATACAAAACCATTTAACAAAAGTCCTCAAACACAACTACAAAATGGTTCACAACATTAGAGCATTCTAACTTGAAACAACCTAAATATTTTCATACCATCCCACTATTTTTTCTTCTTTTCCTCAACGACTGCAGAAACAAGACTTAGGAATGAGGTTGTCAATGTCATGATTTATAAGTATTAAAATCAACAAAATTCAATAGTAGTGTCATTTGTCAATGTCTACAAGCTGTTAAGAACATCATATAACCATCAAAGGAAAATTGCAACTTAATACCAATCCTATTACAAATACCGAAACTATCAATACACCAAAAAGTTATCAAATTACCAATTATCACCAATAATGCAGTAGTATCATCTTCAAAGTATAATAGTGAACATCATTCTAATGCTATGAAATTACCAAAAAGTAATCAAAATACCAATGCAATGCAATGCAATGCAATAGCACATGATGATCCTAATGAACTCAATGCACCTGAAACCTACAATATAATACAATTTCTGGATTAGTAAATAACTATTATTTACTAATTAATAATACTTATTGTTGTTACCTGTCTACTACCTATTGGTATAGCACTTGAGTTGATATCCATGCTTGGCAAATGACTTCCCTTAAAAGTTTGTGCTTTCTCATTCCTTGCAAAGATCCAGATTGGTTAAGGGATAAAATCATTCAAAGTATTTCAAAGCCCTGGGTCAACAAGTAGCTGACTAGGATTTAAGATACCAAGGGTCCAGGGAAATAAGAAAGGGTATGTGATCAAACTTGTACAAGCCAGGAAACAAACCAAAAGGCCATGCTGGTTTTGTTCCTTGGAAATCAGAACCACAGATAGAAGTGCTTTCATTGACAATAGAAATTAACAAGACAAGTTGTTAAAATAATGTTTGTTACATTCTAAGCACATCAACCTTCTAGAAAGTTTTGAAAACTAATTGAACAAAAAAAATTAAGCATTATATGATTTGGAAAGAAGCTTAGATATTGTATTTGCAAAGAAGTGATTCTACTTGGATATTCTAGGATATGATGGAAAAAGATGCACTAAAATTAATGAAGTATGATATTTGTAAGAGGTTGGGATGAAAGACTTACAAGCACATAAGGATCCCAAGCAGGATTCTTGGAATCTGAAGCCATTCTAGTTGATGGCCTGAGAAAACTTTCACAGACTTCTCGCACACAAGACTCATCTGCTTCTCTGCAAACAAAATATGTATAGTTTGTCAATTATTTATTTTTATACTTGCAACCTAATAAGCAAGAGAGAACATTATTCAGCAAAAATACATAGATTCCAATTTCTATTACATTGTACTGAATACAAGCTTTGCACCACTAGTAACAAAAAAGTATAAGCCTGTACACCAAGGAAGCTACACGATAAATGCATTTGGTAGGGGAGAAAAACAAACCTTGCTAGGAAACATATGTAGGAAAGAAGGCTCCGGCGACATTCATTAGAGGATTTCAAAGCCAAAGACAATACCAACTAAGCTTCTAAATGAGCACGTGTCTGCACTCCATCATCAGTTACCCTGTGGCAAAACATGATGATAGGTGAAATTCTAGGATCAACGCAATAAAAAGAGCTTCTTAAAATAATTAAAAACTGGGATTTATTCAGAATTATTTCTTTAGCAGCTACTGTGTCAAAAGGAACTTTAGTAAGGGAAGAGTATAATTGAAATTCATGCCACCCACTGATATAAGATGTCAAACAAATACTTGTACCAAAAATCTGATATAGCTTCAGGATTTTAGGGCAAAAGAGTGTTAGCGACAAACCTATTCCAGCTGGGCTTTCTGGCCAAACATATCCTAACATCCACCTACAGTGCAGCCAACTCACCAGCCTGAATTGAACCCAAATTCCAAGAACTAGAAAATTTTGACGTAGGGAAGCAATCATCTACAACCCTGAGCCAACACATGAGACTCATGTCAAAGAGAAACGCATACCGAGTAGCCAAAACAACAAGAGGAAAACCAGATTTTGATAACTTAGCAGATATAACTTTGATTGTGCTTAAAAATAGTTATAAAAATGTTAGAAATATGTGTAGCATCCCACGTGAACAAGACATTACGAGTTGTCAACCAAGTACTACGAAATAATAAGTTTTCTAGGATCATATGAAGGTTCAAATTATATCGAATACATATACCTTGCGGAGACAAGCTAAGGTCCAAAGTGATTAGAGACGCTAATGAATCATGGAGGAGACAGTTCCTATTGAAGAGATCCCATAAATACAAAGATCCTTTCCTTGTGACCAATAATAATTTCCAGCTCTCATCACAATCTATACAGGTTGCTGCAGATCCCATTGTAATGGTACACTAAATCAACATGTATGACAAAGTAAACTAGGAAGTTCTCCAAGAAGCACAAATGACAACTGCAAAAATTTCAAAGCAGGCTGAAGATCAATTAACTGTAAACACATTCTGGTTTATCATCTCATTACCCACTAGTGCATGTGCCATAATGCTCACAGTCGAATTGAGAATCTTCTAATAATAATACTAATAAAAGACAACAGTGACAGAATGAGATTATTTTTCTTAGCCGTGAGCTCTTTTTTATGCATGATCATCATGCTTTTAGCTTAAGGGAACTAGCTGTAAGGAAATCATTATATTATTATCTTACTATGTGACAGTCACTGAAATTGAAACTGTTAAGAGGTTGCAAAATTTCACTTTCCAGAAGTAGAAGGGAATTTGAGCATATATGGCTCGTGCTACTGCATCCAATCAACTCAAAATAACATATCCTGGATCAAATTCACTTCTGTTCAAACTTCAAAAATATCATCACCACCAAAAATGTCAATGCCAGGGGCAGCCATAGAAAGCATTTGTAATAAATAAAAACCAGAATTTGTAATGAATGAATACCTGAAAGATGAATATACAAAAGGAGATACACCAGGGTTAGGCATATAAAAACAGCAATAAAAATGGAAAGTAACACACTTGCTAGCAGCAGTGGTTTTTTATGATCTCTAAAACAGGGATAAAATCTAAATTCCAAACCTAAACCAAGAAGTTTTTCCAGAACATCAAAATTTTCCACTTAAACAGACCATGCTATGCCAATCTAGCATATAGCACAAAGGATGTCTACTGGCATACTATCTAAGCACTAGAAAGATAACAAAAAATCTAAAAATCAAAATATCAGATCATATCTCCACTATACACTTCTAAATTATTAGGTATTCAGGATTTTGGATTTTTTGTGTAAGTAGTAAGTTCTCCTACTTAATACTTAACCCTGTTGTAAGCTTCTGAATTCTTACCATAACACTGTATAACAGTAAGATATTCTACAAAGAATATCTTACAAGGGTTACCTTAGAAGACAGGCAGGGAGGGGTCACTTTAGAAGAGGCCTTTGCACTACAAAGAAAACCTGCACAAAAAAGAAAAAGCATGTCAGAAGGAATACATATATAAAGATAAAGTGAAGAGGCAAGCACAAATTTAAGACTTACCTATTTAATCATCCAAGAAATCTCTTAATTACAAGAAAACAACATCATAGTAGATTCAACCTTCTTCCTTATTTGATTCCACACTCATATCATACAAATCTCTTGGTATTGCATTCAATACAATTTCCAATTCTCATATCAAGGATCTTGTACATAAAATACCAGTTTTGCTTGGGATGCAAATACAAGAGCTTCATCTTTTATATCCTTGCCCATATGAATTAAATTTGAGAAATTCACAAGGGTAAATCCATATTGATCCTTCTTAATGCCCTTGCCTTCAATAAGGCTAATTACATCCAAACAATAAACCATCAATCTATTAAAGTAATTAAGTTCTATTATGTTCTATTAAGTTCTATTAAGTTCTATCAAAGTAAGTAATCACATCTTAAATGCTTGAAATGATATTAGCACACAATCTAAAAGTTGTTCCTTAATTACATAATTTGTATCATATAACAATTATTTTCATGTATATAAGAATTCCAACATTATAAGAGAATATTGCTCTTCGAAACTTTTTTAAAATTCAATTTTCATCCATAATTTTTAAAAAATATGTCAAGTTTATTCATCCCCATCAATCATATTTAAAAATTTAAAGAAATATACCCTGTCAATGCCACATAGACCAAAATAAGAATCTCTTCATATGCATAGGAGTAAGTGCTATTTTTTATGTGTAAGTATTCTATTTAATAATTTTGATGGTTAAATTTCTACAGTTTGAAAAAAATTTTGGACTTCTATGTAGTTCATGTAGATGAAGAAGCTATTGTTTGCAACAGTGTCAATGAAGCAAAGGTTTGTCAAATTTTTTTGTTCTTTTTCAAATTTGCACAATCATCGAAGAATGAAATTAATTTGTCTAACATAAATAAGAACATTAAAATCAGAATGAATGATTACAACAAAATTTTTTCTCTCGAAGGGTCTAGTTTTTAGTAAGTCGATAGAAAAAACTTTATTAGTCTTAATCTAGTTGAGTGACACATTGTTTCAATGATAATTATCATGTACCTGTGTTTGTTTTTAACTCTCAAGTAGTCTTAGTATACTGCCCTTAGCTGAACCCAGATAGAAGCTCTTGGGTTTGGTGCAGTCATGGCAATGGCATTTCTCATTCTCACAGAACCCTCATCATTCAAATCTAATGACAGTTCGAGTTGCAGTCACCTTTAACATTCTTTTGCCAAACTATAACAATCATTTATGATTAATTCTTTCTTAGGCATTCTAAATTTCAGTCATGGAATTATGGTGAAATCAAAAGCAAACCTTGGTAGTAAGTCTAGATCATATAATAGTAATCGAAAGTAAACAGTATGCTGCCATTAAAGATCAGGGCTGTTCATACCTATTAGCTTTAAGAGGTAAGTGGTAGAGTTCAATCAACCATTGATCCCACTCAACTTCTGAAATTGTATATTATATATAATTAGCATAAACAATTAGTGTTTTTCCTATATAATTAGTATATTGACACCACTAAAATTTATTAAAATTTTTTAAGAGGTCAAAAAATAAATTTTATCTTTACTTTTACATTCATTTTAATTTGAAAATTCTAAGAATATTTTTTCACTACAAGTATAAGTTTAATTTATGATTTTGAAAATATATATTTATTTGAAAGTCTTATCATATTTTGAGATATTTTCTTCTATATTTAATTTTATCAATATTGTTTTTAAATAATAAATAATATAAATAAAAAATATAATACTATTATTTTAATTCCAATAATACCATTTCTTAAATACACCCCTGAGATGATACTGTTCATTACATATAATGATGACATTGTAAGGGTACAGATTTTCTCCTCAATTTTTTAAGATGAATGAAAATATAGATCAGCCTTTAAAATCTTATTTTGTGGCATTCCCGGTATCTCTATATGAAATTGTTGGATATTAAACTTAGATTAAGTTTTCATGAATCTAGCTATCTATGAAGCTAGCTATAGCTATTCATGAATATGTGTTATGAATGAATTTAGTTAATGATACATAAATGTGCTTAATTGAATGTTCCTAATTTAGTTAATCAAATTTATCCACAAAAAGCTAAACAACAAGGTTAACTCCAAAATTTGAAAGATACCTTGTCCTTGTCTATTTCTGCACTAACAGATAAAAAATTGACGAACTACAGAGGAGGAACTACTTCTGCACAACAATTGAGCAAAAAAATAATAGATTTTAAAAAAAATTAAAGAAAGATTCATTAGATTTGGAAAATAATAGATGAAAATCGAAGAAATGCAGAGGAAATCGTGTATACCTAGCTACAAGCAGAGGAAATCGAAATTTCAGCGAGGAAATCAAAGTTTGCTGCAGAGAGAATCGATCGAAGAGAGATCGAAGAGAGATCGAAGGTATATTAGGTGAGAATGAGAGTAAGAGAGATCGAGGTAGTAATCGAAGAGAGATTGAAGAATTGTATCTGGTGAGAGTGACAATGCGAGAGATCGAGTATTGAGAGTGAGAGTCGAGAGATTTCCAAAAAAAAAAAAATAAAGTGAAACTATAAAATAAGATTTTAAAAAAAAAAAGTGAAAATAAGAAATGAGATTTAAAAAAAAAAAAAAAGAAAGTTATTAAGTCACACGAGGCAAAAGTAAGCAAAGAGTGTTTTATAACCCTAATGTTTTATTAAGCGAGAGAAATAAGATTATTATGTGCGGGTTAGAAGTAGCCTAAAAAAATAATCTATTAAAGGCAATTTTATTAAATTAGTAAAATAAAAACAATAAATTATTAACATTTTTATGAACTCTCAAAATTTTAATGTCATTAAAAATAAGAATTTTTGTAGTGCAGTGTTTGAGCCCTCGTGCACATAGATTTTTCAACTTTTTTTTTAAAAAGTAGTAACAATTATAGTTCTAGTATTAATATTTTTTATGTTTTAAAAAAGTAAATAGTATGAATGATTCTTAAATTTTGGATCAAATTTGACTATTATCTTTATATTTTTTTGTGTATAATAATACTTTTAATTAATATAAAATGAAGTGGGATAAAACATTTTTGTTAATTCCACAAAATTGTATTTTCTCTATTTCAAAATTATTGTTTCTTATTGACTTTTTTTTTTGTCAAATTAACTCAATTTTGACCATTATTTTTAATAAAATAATAAATCTTAAAAATAAATTTTGTAAACTTTGAGTTTAAAATTTTTTTTAAAACATATATTTTTTAAAATTTTAATTTAATTATATGTTAAAAAAATAAGGTCAAAGTAAAATTACTTTAATAAAAAAATCAATAAAAGACAATTATTTTGAGGTAGAAAAAGAAAATTTTTATTATTAAACTGTGAGGATTTCCCATCATACTATGTAAACCGTAATGATTCTGCAGATTATCTCATGAAAATTATCCCAATACTTAACCTCACATCATTAATAACCAAATTTTTACTTTTTTATTGAATAAAATAATGAATTACATTTTACATTTGAGTGTATAATTTATACAATATCAACGAATAATAAATTGTCATCCCATCAAAAGACATAATAATTTTTTTTAATATGTGAGTTATGATTTATTATAATTAAAATATGTAATTATAATTTCTTTTTTTTTTAAATTATAACAAAAATTTTAAAAGAAAAAAAATGAAATTAAGAACACAAAAGAAAAAAGAAACCTCAAAATTCAATCTTGATAGCAATTGACTCTCATCACATATATACTGGCATGATACAAATAGGATAGAACAGAAATCGAAATATAATTATTGAAAAAGGAAATAATAATAATAATAATAAACACTCACCATCTTCGTCACCACCATCCAATCCAAAATCATAGCTAGATTAAATGGAGCCCCCAACCCAATTCCCATCAAAATTACATTTTTTTTTTCTAATGGTCACAAAGAAAGTGTAATAACGATAGCACTGATTCCAAACAAAACTACATTTTGCATGGTGATCAGGCTCACAGCTTTGGAGTTTTCAGTTGGGGTGTTATCATCAGGGCTATCAGCAACGGCAGCAGCCTTCTTCTTCTTGGACTTTGCCGGTGCAGGTGCTGGAGCTGGAGGCCTAGGAGCAAAAATTTGCAAAGGTTGAAGCACCTGATCGACTTGATAAACAGCAAGCTGACCATCTGTGTAAATGGTGCCAGAAACGCTGGTGTTTGTCAGCCCTGTTGTTATATTGACTGTGTTTCCTGAACTAGTGATATTGAGAGGAAACTTCCCATCACCACTATCTCCAGCTTGTGTTCTCAAAGGGTTACTCACGGTTTGGAATTGGGACGTTGAGAGGTACATTGGGACTATATGAAATTGCACCAGCTCCACCTGTTGTTCGTCGTTGAGTGAATTCAAGGTACCGGATTTCAGGCTTGAGAAAGCATTATCTGTCGGTGCAAAAATGGTCATCCCATTGTTTGTATTATTGAGCTGACCAAGAAGTTGGTTGGTGACTTGGGTGGCTTTCAGAAGACGAATGAAGATGGTGAATTGGCCAGATTTTTCAAGGATTTTGGTAACATTAGTGGGACCAGAAGGTGCCGGAGCCTGGGCAGGAGCTTGGGCTAAGATTCTTGAGCAATGGAGGAAAAAGAGAAGGAGAAATGAGAGAGTGAAGATCAGATGTTGCTTCATTATCATCATCGTTTGTAGCTCCTTTTGGGATGTATGGGACGTTGTTGCTTTGGCAACAGAACAATTCAAAATGGAAGAGAATATGAGGGCGGTTGTGGGAAGGAAAGTCGTCCTTCCACAAAATGTTTGGCTAATTTGTTAGTAGGAAGAGAAAGGGGAGGGGTTTATCAAGGCGAGGAGAGCATGAAGTTAGGTTAAACGTTGGCAAAATTATCAACTCTCAATGTTTTTTTAATATATCATTTAATTCGATTTAATTGGTATAATTTAAAAAAAAAAACAATATTTAATAAATTTAAATTTAGTATCTAAAATTTGTTTTCCTTTTATAAATTACGGCTTTTTTTATCAAAAAAAATTTTTTCTTGAGAAGGTTGGAGGAAATGAATGGAGAGAGGAGGGAAAGAAATTGATGATACAGTTAGAGCAACTAGATTGCTTGGAAAAGCAGGAAAAACAGGAGATTTGGAGTGGATGTGTGGACAAATAATAAAGATGTCAAGTGATTGCTTTGCTTTTACTTGTATGGATATTTTGGGCTTAAAAACTTCGGTTTTGATTGCCACTGCGCACCTTAAGAAGCAAGTCTCCATGAAGTTGGCTGGTGGTTCTTTGATCTGGCCATTGGGCCCTTTCCGTGAATGTTATCCTGTGCCTGGGTGCTAATGTCAACGCTTATGGCTCCTTCTGGGCCCTTCATTTCCGTCTGTAGATCGATCGAGGACGATGATCCAGCTTTATAATTGTGCTGCTCTCTCCTTTTTCTTTAGCCTCTCTTTCCCTTCTTTTGATTTTTTTTTTTGTCTCATTAGGCATGCAGGGAGATTCCTTAAATTTTAGGTTATTTCAGGAAAAGTTTTAGACCAAATTTCTTAAATGAAATTCTTTAAGTTTTCAATTAAAATTGATTAAATAAAATTAAAAAAAAATAAAATAGATAAATTAAAAGATCTTATTATATAAATCAAGTATGTAAAATTTGAAAAAATTTTAATATATAATTTTAGATAGATATTTTTAATAAAAATATTGATAAAATTTTTATTATTGAATAAACATTAATCAAATTTAAATTATAAATAATTTTTTTTAATTTTTTTTTTACATATGGTTGATCTTTATATTAAATTTTATCAATTTATTGATTTAAATTTTTATTACAGTTTTTATTAAATTAATTCTTTTTTTAAATTTCACAAACTATGTAAATTTCTTCCACTCATTCTTATCAACACACATTTTGTCCACGTCAATAGTTATAATTTAAGATGCTCATCTAGGGTGCATTTGGATCTAAGCCCTGTGTCTCAATTGCTCTGTGAGATGCATTCAAATAGCACGGGAGATGCAATTCTATTAGTAAACACTTGTCATATCCAATTAATTATTATTATTATTACATTTAAACATACATTATTACAATAATTTTTTTTATATAATAACTAATTTTACTATCATTGATATTTTTAATTTCATTCGAAATCAATTTCTATGCAAAAGAACCTTTATTTGGAGCTTTAATTTTTAAATGAAAAGCGCAGCATTCCATAGTTCATTGAATGGAAGGAAATTATGGCCCTTTCTCTATTCCAAGACCCCATATTTGTTATGTACAAAAAAAAAAAACTGAAAATTTCGAATTGTTGAAATTTCAATATCTCTTTTAAAAATGTTTTTGTTTTTCTTTAGTATATTAGATAAATTTGAGTTGAGGAGGCCCATACCTAGCCAAGCTAGGCTAAGTTTAAAGCTGCTTCTTTCTCAAGTCAAGACTACATGTGTCGCTTTAACAGTTAATACAGCAAACAATTGGTGTTGGTTGGCGCATGATCGGACAAAACACTCGTGTTTAAAATTCTTTTGGTACACAAACATACGAAGATTGTTGCTAATATTTAGTTGAGTTCGATACAAGCATATGCGAGTAAGTTCGTATGTTTGCATCTATATTGTTGCAAGAATTGATAATTCTTTACGCTTTCATTTTTGTTTCTTTCTAAGAATATATTAATCTACATCTCATCACATCATTACAATCCAGTTAGACATATTTAGATCAAAAGTAAGATTCTTTCTTCCTAGTTTTAACTACTATCATTGTTGGGGGCTAATGATAAATAGGGCAATGGACCAAAAATTAGAGGCTTTACTATAGATTGTAATTTAAATTAATCTATAATTTTAAATATAAAAATAATGATACAATATAAAATACATAAAAATATAAAAATAGTATAATTTAAAATTTTAATAAACATTATTTACATATTTGATAAAAAATATATATATATTTCGTATTTTATATGTAACCATAAATTTAATTAGAAATAAACACAACACCAAACTGGTGTCATGAATTGCCAAATGCAATTCAAGGCAATTTATAACTCATGGGTCCATGAATCTTGCAATGATATACAAGATAATCCATTTCATTTTTTCTTACATTGAGAGAATATAAACTTGCAATTTTGACATCAAAGATGTTAGAGGGCATCTAAATATACAGGATGTCATAAGTCAACCTTGTATAGGGTCATGATCGAGACTTAGGTTGTCATGAACCACCAATGTATAAGGTCATGACCGGATAGATCTCTTGAGTTAAGAAAAGTGTTTCCATTTCAAATATTGTAATGGTTAGTGGTAACATAGCTCTAAAATCTCTAAAGCTCTTTAGAGGGGGTGAACGGGTGAAATGGGCAGCGTAACTGTTGGGCTGTCTCACCGATCGTGATACGAGCATAAGCCATCCGCAAGGGTTGCCCCCTGAGCCTGGCGATGGTTAGAACAGTCCCGATGTACTATCCTCGATTTATAATAAAATTCACCTCTGATTCGAATGTTGTCTTGATGTGTTTTTCTTTTTGTCGATGTGAATGTGTCTTATTGTGTATGCTTGAGATTGATCTCGATATGAATGTGTCTTATCGCGTATGCTTGGGACTAACTCTGACTTATGATTATTTGTTCAGATATCAAAACTATTAAGAGCTAACTTAGTGGAAGCATCATTCAGTGCCGCACGATCTATTGCTTGTTGAGAAGAAAGTTTAGTCCGTGACAACGTGGTATCAGAGCACAATTGAGAGTGCTAGAAAATGGAGGAGATGATCACAAGTGATAGACCCAATTATCAACAGAGACTTGAAGAACTTGAGGCTCGCAGTGAAAACTCACATGGTGACTAAAGATCGATTGAGGAAGATCGAGACAACCCAGCAGGAGTTATCCGATACTTTTCACAACGTGAGCGATGAGGCTAGAGATGCCTTGAATGTTTTCCAAAATGAGTTTGAAGAGCTCAGAGCACAAGTGAGCATCATACAATGGTTATGGCCAGATCGAGTTCGAGCTTGACGGAAAGGGAAAAAAAGACCAAGTGCTGGAGCCTCAATGCTATGAGAGGGCAAAAGATGCCAAGGAGCTTGAAACTTTCAGTTTGACATGGAGGCAGTACTTTCGAGCTGTACACACGGATTCAAAAAGGAAAAGGTAACACTGACGTCGATGTACCTCACAAAGGATGCCAAGCTATGGTGGCACTCCAAGTTTTGTCAATGACGAGTGTCCCAATTAAGACTTGGATAGACCAGAAACAAGAACTGAAAAACCAGTTCTTCCCTGAGAATGTAGAGTATATGACCCGAAGAAAACTTCGAGAATTAGTGCAAACAGGAACAGTGCGAGAGTTTGCAATGAGTTTTTTCTACCCTGATGTTGGATATTCGAGACATGTCTAAAAAAGACAAGATGTTTTATTTCCTTGAGCCCTCAAGCCTTGGGCCAGGACAGAACTACAAAGATAAAAAATGTAAGACATGACCACAGCCATAGCTGTAGCTGAACGTCTCCATGATTATAATGATGGCTCTTCAAAATAAAAAAATCCTCCATCAGTTGGCAGTAACTTCAACTTTGATAATGGGAGAAAGATAACTAGATTGGACCAACCCTTCAGTGGGGGATCAGACAAGAGGTCTTTTGGTCGAGATAGCACCCAACCTAAGACAAACAATACAATAATTTTTAAGCCTAGGCAACCACTAGCTTGCTTTCTATGCAAGGGGTCGCATCAGGTGACCGAATGCCCACACAGAGGAATCCTTAATGCCTTAAGAACCCCGTCTCAAGAGTCCGTAAAAACACCAAAAATCATTGAAGAAGTTGAAGATAAGCTAGCCATGATGGGTTTAATAAGGTTTTTGAATACCTTTCACACCCAACTGAACACAATAAAGAAGAAGCAAAGATAGAGGCCTGATGTATGTGAAATTAATGATCAATGAGAAGCCCACCAGGGTCATGGTAGATACGGGTGCAACCGATACCTTCATCATGCCAGAAGAAGCAAAAAGATGTGATCTCCAAGTTAGCAAGGACTGTAGGCGAATAAAGGCAATCAATTCGCCAACCTTTGCGATCAGTGGAAGCTCCAAGAGTGTGATGACCAAATTGAGGTCATGAAAAGGGAATGTAAACTTTACAGTTTCCCCCATAGATGAATTTGATGTCGTCCTCGAATTGGACTTCATGATGTTAGCTCAAGTGATCCCTATCCCCGTCGCTAGTTGCCTGTTGTTCTTAAGGGAGCACCCATGTGTGGTGCCGGCCACTATCTTGCCAAAGAATGAGAAGAAAATGATTTCAGCTTTACAATTCAAGAAATGAGTAAAGAGAGGTGAACCCCTTCTTTATGGACATGCCGATTTACAAGAAAGGGTTGGGAGTGAAACCGATACCCAATGACGTGAAAAAAATGTTGAAAGAATTCGAAGAGGTGATGCCAGGGATATTACCTAAGGTTCTACCTCCTCGAAGAGTCGTGGACCATGAAATTGAGCTCCTCCCAGGAGTTAAACCCCCTGCTAGAACTCCTTACCGTATGGGCCCGTCAGAGTTAGCCGAACTAAAGAAACAGTTAGATGAACTTTTACAACCGGGTTCATTAGACCATCAAAGGCTCCTTTTTGGAATGCCAATGCTATTTCAAAAATGCATGATGAAAGTTTACGATTATGTGTTGACCACAGGGCCCTGAACAAAGTCACCGTGAGAAACAAATATCTCATCCCTCTTATAACAGATTTGTTTGATCAACTAAGCCGAGCCAAGTACTTTTTCAAATTGGACTTGAGATCTAGCTATCATCAGGTCAGAATTGCTGAAAGAGATGAGCCAAAGATCACTTGTGTAACACGATATGACGCATTTAAATTTCTTGTTATGCCCTTTGGACTGATCAATGCTCCTTCCACATTTTGTACATTGATGAATCAGGTGTTCCATGACTATCTAGACAAATTTATAGTCATCTATTTAGATGAAATAATGGTATATAGCTCTACCTGAAAGAACATCAAAAACACTTGTGCTAAGTGCTTCGAAGATTACAAGACCACCAGTTGTATGTGAAAATGGAGAAATGTGCATTTGCTCAGACCCAAATCCACTTTCTCGGTCACATTGTCCGTGACACAGGACGTGAGCTATCATCGAGCATGTATAGATGGTAAAACAGATGGGCATGGCTTAAGAATTATTTCACATGGCTTGAGCATTATATGGTAAAAACCATGGGCCCATCATCTTCATAGCAGGATATTCATCATTTCACTAGTTGAATATGCAAATTATCCCATTACAGACATGTATGGACATGCATTAGTTCAAGTTGGGATACACTGTTAGAGAAATAATAGCGGACCTGTAGATCAAATCCGTGTTAGTGAAAGAAGTTATACCACAGCAATATCCTCTTCTAACTGACAACGATAAACAAGCCAATGACAAAGCCTAATTGTCCAAGCAGGTCAGTGCCGGATCATCATCTCTGTTTGTATGTATCCCAAGGTCCTATCCAGCCTCTGTCTCAGTCAAATTTTTTTCTTTCAATGCATCTTCAGCTTTTATTTTCTCAGGGACATAATCTGGAAACACAGGAAAAAAAATTCCAGCAAATGTTAAATAATAGCTCAACCAATGCGGAAAAAACTTGGAACCAGGATAAACTTTGGGAAGATAGCTGGCAACGAGAATAGGATAGGACAGCAAAGATGCCAGTTAGTTTAGCTACTAAAGTTTTTTTGCAGTTCCAGGGATGACTTGGAATGGAATTCCACCCTCAACATATATAAAGGCGCTAAAGGGAAGGAGAAGGTGAAGAACATTAATTTCTATTTTGTAGCCCGGCAATTGGCTAAATAAAAATAAATAAACAAATTAGAGAGAAAAGTACCTGAATAGAAAGTCATATCTCTTCCGCTCACAAACAACCATTGCTGCAAATATGGGAGGAGCATCTTAATACTACTGCAGTCAAATATGTTAACAGCTTTTTGCAACAAAAATATCAAATTCTTTTAAAACGGGTTTGAGCAACACGATAAAAGCAATATGAAGTTGTATACAATCCACTTTTCAAGAAATGAAAAATATAATATCATTCAATTATATACTTCATAAAATATTAAATTATAGATGAAATATATATATATACATGGAAAAAACATCCGGAGAATCTTAATATAATTTCAAGCACCCATAACATGTATACCAATCACAAGCAATGGAAAGAGACTAGGCTTTTTGAGATATTTAAGATTCATACTGGTGCAGAGAAACGGCAGATTAAAATTTTGAAATCATCAGATCTCAAATTAGTTCATGGTTCACCTACATGATCCATAATAGAATATCAGAATCAAGAGCCAAATTCAAACCCCTAAAATTTTCAATTCTAATGACACAAGCAGAGGGTCAATTTTGATGTGATATAGAAATCGCTATATGTGTACAACTCTAGCCCTCATAACTAGAATTTAAACTCTAGTAATTAGTAAATTTTTCCAAACCCATCTGCAGAAAACTTTCTTCTTGGCTATCAAACCATGAGACTGAAATGGCAGTATCACATTCCATAAGAATCTTGACTTTTTATTTCAAAAAAAAAAAAATACTATAACTATAAATATCAATCCTTATGAACAAATAACAGATCTAAGGAAACCACTCGAGAGATACCATCAGATCAATTTCAGACACAACATGCAAATGATACAAAAAAAGACATGAAAGTTACACAATTTTAAATTGACGAAAAACATATGTGGGTTTGGCAAAAACCAAAATATGTGTGTTGTATTTGGCATGTGACACAAATCGTGACATGGCAATTTTCGTGTTTTAGAAATGTTTTATGGCAAACAGACACAACATGGATAGACAAATTGCCAGGTCTACCATCAGAGTTCCTACTCCTATCTTTACCAGAAAGAATTACTAGTTTTGATCCTCACAGTATTTAGTGTTTTGTAGGAGCAAATATTAATAAGGTAGAGTAAGTTATGGTTCATGCTAATATTCTACATTTTAAAGACATTATGACAATGCAGGATAAAACCAGCACATATACAAAGAGGATAGAAAGGGAACTTACATAGGTGCTTGTAACTAAGCGATTTCTTGCGATCTTCCACAGAGCATTTGTATCCATCTTCACAAAATTGTTCGAGGAATTTTTCCTGCAAGAACCAAGAATACATTGAGACATAAAATAACATGTTCAAGGACAGAAAGAGATAAAATGAAACAGAGTGATAATTACCATTGTGGCAAATAATGTTCATACCATTATTCACAGAGAAGAAGAAACAACAGTTACACAAAAGAACAAGTATCTTGAACAACAAAGAAAAAAGACCAATTTTGAGAAGAATTCGAAGCAAATAACTAATAACAACAATTAGAAGAAAAAAAAAAAAACAACCTTTCAATATATTTTTGTTCTCAATTCTCTAACTTACTTCCCATTTTTGTCAAGCATGCATTCAAACAAGCATAGACCTAACGAATAACAGCAAGAGTGAATCTTTTTTCAAGCTTTGACATTGGAATATATACATATTGAACCCACATTATAATTTGAAAGAAGTAAAATGAAACGGAAAAGGACAACCATACTGGCATTAAAAAAAAACCAAGAAAAAGCAGAGAAATGAGAATTACCGTGGCTTTATTAACAACAAAAACAACATCTTGAGAAATAGCCATACGGGAATCTTCACTCTTAATTATCCTCTTTATTCTATTCATAGGAAACGTAAACATCTTTGCTTCTTCTTCCTCATTCTCTTCTACTTTTTCCTTGCGTTTCCTCTTATTGGGTTTAACATTCTTGTTGGTCTTGTTTCCGTTTTCTTGTTCTCTTGATTCAGTGTTTGAAGATGGGTCAGCAATAACCTCGGACTCGACCAGGGTTCCATTGCTGCTCTTGTTTTTGTTATTGTCTGCCTTTGGCTTTGACTTGTTAGGTTTTTTTTGGGTACTGGCTTTCTTGTCCGGTTTTTCTATGGCTTTTTTTGTCTCTTTAGCAGGGGTGCTGTTGCTCTTCTTCTTGTTGTTTCCTTCTTCTTTGGGTTTCTTGGAGGAGGCCATGGCGCTCTCCCCCTTTCTCTCTCACGGATTTTGGGGAAGTCTAAAACTTCAAACTCCAAAGCAAGATCTAATATCTGGGCCCTATAGATTGGGCTAAGGTGTTTTGATGCGCTCTATCTTTCCATCTTTCCTAATTTTAAGATGGGCTGCAGTTGAATTTGTTACATTCAATTTTTAGTTAAAAACATCATTGAATTTCTTACAACTCCTCGAACGTTTCTTACTATTTTTTATTGAATCTTTTGTTTTTTTCTATTTAACCTTCTTAACAAATCAAATGCTCTTCACGTTATGTTCATCTTTTCACTCAGATCGTTTGGTCAACATTTTAAACGTCAACTTAACATCTATTGATGGTTATATTCACTATCACCTCAACTAGTTTTGTACTTAATTAATAGCAACTAAGCTAACTAATTATGTCAATGCCAATCCATTATAACAGATAAAATCAGGACAGGGATGTCTCATTATGAATTTTTCACTCCCATCTCACATACTCTCCCCTACTTTCTTACCTTCTTTTTCTTCTTTGCTCTACCTTTCCTCACCTCCTATATTTTGTTGACTTGAAAATTAAAACGTCTCAAAATCTTACCTTTGACGCCCCCTGAACATTCCATTTATTATGGGCCACTCCAATCTCCAAATCAACCATCTGACCAGTTTTCCAACATGCATTCTGCCATCAAACCCAAAAAGCCATCAACATCAATCATCCAAGTATTTGTTGCATAACAATACACACACACACAGATATATATATATATATATATATATATATGATGTTGTGCTATACACATTATGTGTTAATTAAAATATGCAAATTGGTATAAATTGGTTGTTGAACAATTTACCCTTTAAACTCTCAAATAGCATTAAATTAGTATATTGTACTTCCTAGGGGTACTTTAGTATCTAAAGGATAAAATAAACATTTTTTTAAAGTATAAGTAATTAAGAAGCGAAGTCAATTTAATTATTTTATTGAGTTGATTTATTGAGTTTAATCAAAATTTTAAGATTTATATTAACTCGATCATCTTAGTAATCTAACAATTAGTATCTCAAGATATTGACTTATCATACTTTAAGTGGATAGTCAATTGTTAACTTAGTTAGGACTTATAAAATTAACCCTAATCTCCTATACTGATCTCGAGCCATCTAAGCCCAAAATCTTCTATCACACAAATATAAATAACTTCATCCATATATTTCTAATTTATTTGACATTCTTGACTTTGAAACCTTTATTTAATTTTTTTAGATCAAACTTTAATGTAAGTGTCGAAATACAAATATCAAAATAATTCATAATCTTAATCATTAACCGATATTTTTTTTCTTGTATTTTTAAAATTTTACCCCTCACGAACAGGTAGGCACAAACAATACTATACGCATATCATGTGTTAATTCAAAAACACAAAATATTTTGTGAAAATTCCATATGCATGTCATGTCAATTGTTCAATGTAAGGCAGACATTTTGTTGATTAAGGGAAAATATATTCAAATTTTCTTAATTAATGTTGAAAAAAAATGTTGATATTTTCGTGTAAACATAATTTGATAATATTAAAGCAAATGTCATGTAATAACTTGTTTAAGTTAATGGTGTTAAAATTCCGATTATCATGATACTCGATTTAAAAGATACAGAATTTAAAAATTCAAGATGCAATGTGACTAATAACAGAGGTAGATCCATTGTTAAAGGGTGTCCACGGACACTCTCCAAATATTAAAAATTAAGAAAATTTAAAAGAACAAATTTTTTGAACACCTTTTAAAATTTTTTTTAAATACCCCAAAAAATTGAAAAATAAAAAAATTTTGAAGGAAAAACATTATTTTCATCAACAAAATTGATAAATACATTAAAAACATTTTATAATATTTGATAAGTGGATACAACCAAAACAAATCTTAAATGTGCCACTGACTAATAATAGTAACTAAATAGAGCAACATCTAACATGGGTCGGAGACCAGCCAGTGACTGTTCTGTGATGGAGAGAACATGGGAGTTGCGGTTGTCATGTATCAGATAAGGCATTCCCAATCTTTTTATTTTCACAAAATCTACTGCCATGTTAGCTAATGGTTCTGACTAACACTGACTAACGATGATGGTGGAAAGTAGGTTTTGAAACAACACCAGGAAACTATAGTTAGGGGAGCTTTTTAGGGGAAGTAACGTATTTTCCCTATCATTTTTTATAACTGTAGTAATATGTGCAAATGGGTCTGTCACATGAACAAATAGCAAGAACAATTTGTACCAAAAATAGCAAGAGCAACGATCAATCAGAGCCTAAATGTAAGTTTAAATTACATTTACCATATAGAACCAAACTCTTTATCTGTCTCAAAACTAAATGTCACCTAAAAGAATACTTGTCAAATAGATACTAATCTTTCGAAAGATATTTATAAATCCACAAACATGGAGACACTACAAGTGATGAGGAGAAAACAGAACAGGAAGAAAAAGAAAAGAAAAAAAAAAGAAAAAAACTAAAAATAATCTCATCGCCACTGTTGATTATAGAAATATAGGAAGATCATATCTTGTTTGTTGGTTAGAACTTGGATCCCCTCTGCTGACTGCAACAATGGCATTCGAGGTTCCCTCTTCAACTTCGCTTGCCATCTTTAGAAAGTAACTATGCCTGCACAAACGACCATTTAGAACCTTGGCTTAGCATTGAAAAGAAAATCCATTTAGAACCTCAGATAAGATCACAAGAAAAATGATAACTTGAATGGATGATTTAACATCTTTATACCATCTAGTATCTGCAGTCAACTCAGGGTGGAAAGCAGTCCCTAGCAAGTTTCCTTGCTTTATGGCAACTATCACTTTCTTTTCAGGCACAGCATACTCCTGAAATACCCAAAAATATAGATAACAAGAATTAATACAGCCGAAGGTAAAGAACCAATAACAGACATCTTAATCATGTATAACGACATTATGCAAAATCAAGTTCTTTGCTGGATCAATAATAAAGATGAAGGGACCATTAAAATTCAACCTATGCGGCTAACTTTTTTAACTAAAGAAATATAAAAACAAAATAGATTTATGACACATTGTAGGAAAAGGTATAGGAAAGCATAATTATCAAATCCAGCCTTCTTCAATTGAAGCAATGTCTTTAAGTTCTCATTGTTTTACTTTTAATTATTGCAATGAAGAAAAATTCACTAGAAAGAGCGCAAGTATACCTCTTGGATTTCAACAGCTGAACTGGAGTATAGCACTTTATTAGATGGAATAGGATAGTCAGCCAGCACTTCAACTCCTGGCCCCACTTCGAGAACTGCAGGAGCACGGATGAAAACACCACGAAATGTCTCAGGGCCACCTTCTTTGGATGCAAGTTCTGGTACTAAAAGCTCTGCCTCAAAGCTTTGGATCTAAATAAAATTGATTCGTTAAATAACAAATAATTTAGTTCAATATTAGTAGTTTAAACAAAAATCAAATTGAAAAACCAGGACAGGAGGTTATTGAACTCTTCTTCACGGCTGTAAAATTGATATCACATTTCTCCAAGTAAAAGAGATTTTTACTTTCTAGATATAAAAAAAACAGTGCTAAGCTAGTTAGGTGAAGCATATCAATTTACTTACAAAACATAATACTGACTATAACATGTTCTCAAAGTAGCTGTCACTGTTTTCTTATAGTATAGATTTCAATACTTGTTGAATTTCACACACCTATTTAAGCAAATTATCAGCACAAATGGGATGTTGAAAAAGATATCTTCAAGCAATAACAACCCCCCCAACAAGCAGAGGCTTCTGTCACAATACGGAGTTCAACTACCATATCCTAGTGAAACTGGTAAAACGCAAGGTATTTTTTGGATAGTTTTCATCCATGTCCTGAAGTCTCGGGTCTTCCCCTACCCACTTGACATAGACATTTTCTAATTCATCCGGACATCCATTATAGCATCCTCATTACCTATAATCCTTTAACTAATCCCACCATTACTTAGGTTTTGGACCCATGCTAGTGGTTTTTTGCCAAATAAAAGATTTGCATCTGAAAATGCTGATAAGAAAACATGGGAGTTGTGCAATTTCTCTGGATTTCCATTCTACTAAATGCATGTCTTTTAACATTTAAATTTCCATTATTCACTAACCACTACACAACCTTCGGAAAGATGCATGTCTTTACAAGCATCGTTGGACATACAGTAAAATAGAAGGCATATGTATTACCTGACTGCCAAAGTAATTTCTATGGACAGTGCAATCCAGGCCCCCAACTAATTCCTGCCCTCCTTCTTTCTGTCCTGAAAAAAGTTGCAGCACTAATTTCAAATTCAGAACTTTTTCAATGATCTCATTTTGATAAATTGCTTGGTGCAAATCATAAATACTTTGCAAATTTAGTGTGCAGAATCTAGAAGGGGGAGGAGAAATGAAAGAACAGAAACCTACCAACAGCTTTGTTTGCCAAAAATATAAGACCTGCACAAGTCCCCCAAACTGGCTTCCCCATTTGCACAAACTCCCGCAGAGCTGGAAACTGACCAGAAATTAAAAATATTAACCGATTAAATGCAAATGAGACACTTATAAATGTTCCCAATTGTGATGTTCCAATAAATGCAAGAACTGACCCGTGTGCATAACAAAATGTTTAGGCTCGGGAGTGCATTTTAATTAAAAATCAAGATCAAGATGAGGTTGAAGACTCCATATCTTTTTATCTTCAGATATGACATGCAGTAAAGAAATTTGGTCGGTTGGTTGCAAACAACTCATTAATAACTATACTCAACTCAATCAAGGTCAGCTAGAGTAACTCTTTCCCTTATATGCTGAGTCTTTGGCTACATATCCTTCGAAAGATCTAATAACCAAACTCAACCTTATGATACTTAGACTGCAAGCAATGATCGTTTAGGCTCCATTTCGTCAATATCTTTACTTACTTTTTCGCTTTTGGTTTTGGAAGTAAAAACAAAAGAAATGTGTGGGAACTTTGGAAACAAAAGCAAACAATAAAATTTTAAAAATAACTTCCATGATAACAATTAAAGTCCACGAATTTACTTTTACATGGAATATCTTTGTTTGAATTAATACTTGATTCTAATTATCTACTCATTTTTTACCAAAATGATCTTACATCTTAACATTTGCTTTTGCTTTAAATACTAGCAAAAGGCAAGTAATAACATAACAGGTAAACGGCTTTTCGGGTATTCCATGCTTTTTAACGGAAGAAATATGGGAATACAGAAAGAAACCATTTTTTCAAAAATGCATCAGAATTTAATCTCTTATACTTGGATGTCTGCCTCAAGAGAAAACAGTAGAAAATGATGAGAGTAAGAGAGAGAGAATACTAGATTGTGAAACTCAGCGAGCTTCGCCATGGTGGTGCTTTCTCCACCAGGAATGATAAGAGAGCTGATATTTTGAAGCTGCTCTGGCTTCCTTATCTCCACTCCTTTCACTCCTAGCCTCCTAAGCGCTGCAAAAAAAAAAAAAAAAAAAGAAGAGTACAAATATGTTCAACCAAAAATAAAACTCATCAATTAACAGTTTGAATATCAGAGTTAGAGATTATTGCCTGCTATGTGTTCGTTGAATGATCCCTGTAAAGCCAATACTCCGACGACGGCCATGCTTAATTATTCCACTCGACGAGATAAAGGGAGACGTCGAGTGATGGAACTCTTTCCTTCTTCTGTTGGCCAACAATTCTTTCCTTCTTTAGTTGCCCCTACGCCTGTTTTCAGGTATTTTATTCTTCAGCAGCCAAAACGTCAACCAATTGTAGGAAAATTGGCAGACCAAAAACTGGCTGCTGCTGTCTTGCGGTATTGGCGTATTTCCCACCTGCCACCACTGGCTACTAGACCTGTCCATAGGTGGGGTCGGACCGTATGGAGGCATTATATTAATAAGTTGTAAATTTATTTAGATCCTAATTTACTCCAAAAAGGAGTTTAACTTTATTGTCTAAGTTCGATTATTTTTAAACGGAGTTGTGCAAATTCGTTCGAGTCCGTTCATATTTTAATTTAAAAAGTAAATAATTTTTATAATAAATTATAAAAAATTAAATAATCAATAAAATAATATTTAAAAATAACTTCATTAATTTAATTTTATGTTTGGATAAAACTTTTACCTATGGTATTAATGGGAACATATATATTATTTAATTATATATTTATTTTTATGTATTAAAATTATAAATATAAGAAATATATAAAAATTACCCAGATCGAGGTTAACTTTTAAATTTTATGCTTAACACTCAACTCATTTTTTAAACAAAATTAAAATTTAAATGCAAATTTATTTAACAAATTTAAAATTTATATTTAAATCTTTTTAAATTACAAATAAACTTTCGGATTTAAGAGGATAAGTAGCCTTTGAACAAATCTACCAACCACTACAAATATTTTTAACACAGCAAAAAGGTAGAAAAGAAGGAAATTACAAAAAACGAGTTTTTTTTTTTTATTGAAAACGCTAAAAACTTTTTTTAAAAAACAATAAATAAAGTAATAATATTTTTTAAAAAATAAATTCTTTATCTATTGAAAAAAGTTTTCTTTGCAATGATTATGACTGTTTAAAAACATTGAAGAACAAGAGAGAATCAAAATAACTTAAACTTAATTGAAAGGAGTTTTATTATGAATAAATTATGTCAATATTATAAGTGTTTGACTAAAAAATTATCCATTTATCTAAGTTTTACCTGATTAAGATTATCAATTATTCAAAAAAAATTTAAAAATCAAATTGAGTAGAGCTAGATTTCAAATTTAAAATATATAAATATGTATATTGCATAAAAAATAAAAAATAAAAAAATATTAATTCGTGTTTAATAACACGGATTAAGGTGATATTTAAGAAAAATAATTTATAATTATTATATTATCTTTTATTAACTTTTGTGAAATTATTGCATTAAATAAATTTTTTTAAATAATATTTTAATTAATCTTAATCAATGTTTATAAACATTTGTTAACTGGATTCAAAAATAAATTAAACTTTTCAATTAAACTCATAAAACATGTGAATTTGTCTCAACTTTAAATGCAAATAGCTTACAACTAAATTAATTTGACTTTGAATAATCAAATTTAGAGTTCCTTTTTTAATATTTTTACTCTTTTATTTATATTTATATTTTTATTTAAAAATAAATAAATAAAATATCAATTAAACAAAATATAAATAACTGAAAAAGCAAGGTAATTTGTTAGGGAAATTTTAAAAAGGTGCAATATAATATAAATTTTTATTATTTGATATTATGAAAAAAAAATTAAAGAAATGAAAATGTTAAGTTTTTAAATTATTCAAAAGGAAATTACTTTTACATTTTTAACCTTAAACTTCACAATTGTTTTTTTTTTTTTAAAAGCAATTATGAATTTCATTTAAGTATTAAAAGGTCTCACGATCCTTCTCAACTACAGCGATAAGGTATTCTGGGCAATCCTCCACCTAGCATTTGGTTTCATATGTTCCTACTGCTAGTTTCGTTATAGTGTGGGCTGCTTCATTTGCTTTTCTTCTGATGTGGGAACAGTGTGAACCTGCCATATGGCGGAGCTTAAACTGTACCTCTTTCATGATGTTTTCAATAAGAGATAGATCTACTGCCTCATGCTTTAACAGTTTGATAATGCTCAAAGCATCACCTTCCAATTCTATTTTGTTAAATCCCATATAAGAGGCAAATTCGATAGCCTTAACTACTGCTAATCTTTCTACATGCATGGCATTGTCTACATTTGTAACCGGTCTGGACATTGCACCTAGGACATCTCGTTTGTAGTCCCTAATTACCACCCCAATGCCAGCTTCCCTCGTTGCAGCTCTAAAAGCGCCATCAAAGTTGACTTTATAATGGTTATACTTGGGTGCCTTCCACAGCTTCTTCTCACTCCCTGGTTTGTTTGTTTGTCGCTTTTGAGCCTCATGGCATCCTACCAGCACTGTCTGTTTTCTATTGTCGCTCTTGAAACTACTGTTAAGTGTTGAGCTCTGCTGATGTCGTTTTTGACCTCGTCATTTCTGCTCTTCCAGCTTGCCTAGTAGATTGTTAGCCAAAGATCAAACCTCTTGTTGTCCATAGTTCTCGCCATGTGGGTTGTTCATGCCATGGTGTTTTGGTAGTTTCCTCCCTACCACTTATGGTCCATATTTATAGTCTTCCAAACATCTATTACTGCTATACAATCTTTTATTGCATGCAAAACTGAATTGTCACAATTATGGCATCTCGGGTATTCTGCATCATTCATGATTCGTCTCCTCTTTAAGGTTCCAAACATTGGCAGCAACCCCCTGGCTAATCTCCACCCAAATATTTTTATTTTATTTGGCAGCCGGGCCTTTCATAACTTCTTCAAGATTTCCTATTCACCCTCATTTAGACATCCTCGATTATTCTTTGGTCGTTTCCACTCCTATGTCCTTTTACTTTAGTTCCTTTCAAAACTTTTTAATAATAATGGGAAAATAATTAGGTGATTAAGACAAAATTAGAATGAGTAATGAGGAAATATAATAAGGAAGATAGGTAATATTTTTTTTAAAATTTAATAAAAATAAATTTTTTTTCAAAAAAAAGAGAAAAGATATAAATATATATAAATAAATAAATTTTCCATAAGCATGTTGCACTTGTCCTTACATTACATAATTTTAAAAGTAATACGGTTTCTGATGATGAGACTCCAAAAAATTCGAGTAATGATTTTCAAGAATTCCTTAAATAAAAGAAGTTTGCTTTAAAAGATTGGAATATTTAGTATGATTCTTAATACAAAAAAATTTTTGTTTATTTTTCACCTTCTAAAATGAACTTTCTATAATACAATAAACATCATAAATTAATCCATAACATACTAAAAAAGATATTAAAAAAATAATAATAAATATAAATTAAAATTTTCAAGGATCAAGATCATAAGAAGTTCGAATAGTAATTCTTTAAGAATCTGTCCAGTAAAAAAATTTATCTAAAATGTTATCAATATATTGAAGGATATAAAATAATTTTCAATAAAGATTTCTAGTCTTTTTAATAATACGAAAAAATGAATTTTTTAGAAAATATTTATTTTGGATTAAATTATAAAATCATACTATACACTTGGATAAATATAATATTGAAGATAAATATAATTCATCAGGATAAATTTTTAATAATTATATGAATAGTGATTTCTTAAAACTCTTTAGGTGAAAAAATTCCTTCTTAATATTATCAGAGGTATTGAAATATTCTTAAAAGTTTTGTAATAAGCAAGATTCTTATTTATTTTTCAAACGAACCATTAAAAATAAAAATATGATTTTTTACAGTAATGAAAATAAAGAAAATTAATTTTAAATACTAAAATTAAGATTTTTTTGTCAAAATTAAAAGATAACATATAATTAATAGGTATCATTTTTAATGGGCATTGTGGGGGTGCTAATATTTTCCCACGCATAACTGACTCTTAAATCCAAACTGTTTTGCAGACTCCAAAAATTATCTTTTTAATAAGTTTTAATTAGTTTCAAAATTTATTAAAAGGATAAAATTTAGTAGGTGACCAATCACATCTAATCAAAAAAGTTTGGTGGTGACTTTTTTTTCATTTTTAAAATTCATCTAGTAGACCCAAAAACCATTACGATATTATTCTAAACAAAAACTGTTCATACTACTTTAATAGGGTGTTTGGTTGGGAAAACCTAAGATTTTCCCTCAGAATCTAGTTTGTGGGAATGTGATTCCCATGTTTAGTTCATGAGATCTAATTCCTAGGAGTAATCTTAGATTTTTGGTAATATTCAAAGTTACAGAATCAAAAACACACCTCTCCCTATGATTTTTTTAATATTCCAGGGGAAAAATTATTTTGTCCCACATTTGACCTAAATAAAAATTGTTTTCACTCTATTTTACCCTTTTGAAAGTCAATGTATGAAAAGAAACTTAATTTTGTTTTTTATTTACAAACATAGTATTGAAAACAAATAGCACAAATACTACGTTAGTTGTAAGTTTTAATGTAGTATTTGAGTATTCTTTTTTTTCAATGTCAATACGACGTTTGTAGGGAACCCAAACATAGTAATTGTGGATTAACTTTTTTGAAATTTTTTTAATACAAGGACGATGTTTTTTATGAACAAAATGCATTATTTGAGAACTCATTTTTGTTATATATTTTCCATTTGAATACTACGTTGAGAGGCTTTGAAACCTAGTAATTTAGATTATTTCTAACATTTCTTTAAATAGAAACGCAATATTTAAGTACTCTTTTTTTTTCTAATTTCCTACTTAAATCTTGTGTTTCAAGACTGTGAAATGTAGTAATTGTGCTTTGTCGTTTTGGGGTTAATACTGCATTTTTGACGTAACAAATGTTATTCTTGTTAACAAAATCAAAACCCATTTTTTAATAAAAAATAAAGCGTTTTATTAGTCAGAAATGTAATATTTGAATATATAATAACGGTGTTTTTGACATAAGAAACATTGTATTTGTTAAAAAAAAATTTTGAATGACAAAAACTTCTTTATTTTCAGACAATATCTTGAAGCTCTAATCAAAACCTTTTTTTTTTAACCAACATCAGCTTCAACTTTTGTGATTTCATATTTTTACTGTTCATTTCATATTCTATTTATCAATAAATGGTGAGTCTACTATCTGTTAAATTATTATCTATTTTGCATTATTTGTTTGATTCAAATATCTTCTTGTTTTATTGATCTAGATCTCATTTAGATCTTAATTGAAAAGTTGTTGATCTAACATATATGTTCTTGATTTTGGTTTTTGTTCTTGATCCACAAATATTTTGTTGTTGGTTTTTTTTTTTGTTGGATTTGTCTTAGATTCCATCTACCAAATGCACATATTAGCTTTTGACACATGTTTTCAACATTAACAAAAAATTTTTTTCTAAACAGTTATGGCTCGTTTATCAATAAGAAAAAAGATACAATTGGTAACAATGTTTATTTTGTAATCGAACCAGATGGAGATATGTTTCAACTATTACTTATTATTGTTGTGACATTAGTTGTAGTGAAACTTAAAAAAAACATAGATTATCTTATGCTAATAACACTCATGATAGGCTTCAGATTAAGGCGTTGAACTTAAACAAAATAATTTTTTAGAGTGATAGATAGGTGTAGATAATTATAAAATGGATAGGAGAATTTTGTAAAATTATGTCAATTACTTCAAACACGTAAAGATTAAAAGCATCTAGACATATATCAATAAAAGAAATGATTATGAGCTTTCTTCATATCATTACCCATTATATAAAAAATATAGTTACAAAGCATCAAGTAGCTAGATCAAAGCTAGGACACCAACCAATGACACCTCAAATTTTTCAATATAAAACACTCAAACAAGAAATTATATCAAGAAATGTTTTGGTATATTGAAAGCTAGATAGGCAATTTTAAGAGAAAAGTTATTTTATCTAATAAAAACATATTGTAGAATCATTTCTGCTTATTGTCTTATCTATAATTTTATTATATCTGATATGGTAATTGATCTTATTGAAAGTGATGTTATTAAAGTGAGTAATAACTAATCAGATGTATCTAAGCATCAAGATTTCATTAGGCATATTGAGCCAAGTGATGCTTGGATTAAGTTTAAAGATAACTTGGTATAGAAGATGTTCACGAATTGGTTGCAATCCATAATTAAGGACATTGGTTTTTTTTTTCCCTTTTTTTA